CGCGCGGCCGGCGTACACACCCCCGGCCGTTCGTAGACAGTGGGCGCTCAATAAGTGCCCGAGCGACTCCTTGCGCACATGCGCACTTGAACCTGACCGAGTGGTGACGCCCCCGCCCCCACCCCCAAATCGGACCCGGAGGCTGCAGCCCCGAACCAAACTTGAGTCTTAGCCTGTTTTCACTGAACCGGCCGCCGAGCCAAAGTTTCTTGCTGTTGTTTTTCCAGGCCGGGCTCCGGGACAGGCTTCTCCGAGGGAGGCCGAGCTCGCCCCAAGGCGGGAAATGCCGCCAGCCGGCTCCGGGCGCCTCCGACGGGCGCTTGGCGGGGGCGATCGAGACCCAGGCCGCGCCGCCCCGACCCGCCGAGCGTGAGCGAAAGGCGAGAGGGAGGGAACGCTGGAACCAACCTTTCCATCTTCCTTTGCTTTAATGTTGTCTTCTCCATTTTATGACATTTTACTCGATCTCACTCGTTTGTAGTTGTAAAGTGAGGCGTTATTTGCTGTTTCTGGAATTAACGTGAGAGAAAGTTAACTATTAGCCTTCAGCCCTTATGTAAACAATACCAGTTGCTTTTGGCACCGTTAGGCTCTGGCTTTTGTATAATTTGTAACAAGGAGAATTAAAGCTGAGCCATTGTGTTGCTCTGTGTTTCTCAGAGATAAGACCAGAGCCACACGGTAGTGAGAAGCCCCAGTACCGATATGTGTGAGCATATAGTCATATTTAAATAAGTTTAATGGATAAAAGAAATAAATCCCCTCCCCCCAGAAGTTTTAAAATATTTTTGGACATACTTGTTGAGTTTGCAGTCAGTTCACCTTCAATTTGAGGTATGCTGTTTTTCCTGCAGAGAGGCAGTGGGGAGTGTGTAGGAAAGGACTAAAGGCTTTGCAGTCAGACAAACCCGGTTTGCAATCCTGATTTTACTGCTGAACTAGGTTTATGACCTTCAGCAGGTTCTTTTATCTCTCTGAACCTCAGCTTCTTTATCTGTAAGATGAAATAAAAAACATAGGTATAGTGCCTAGCTCACACCAAATAAACACTAGATATTATTTCCCTTCCCCCACCGTCCACCATTTGTTACAAAAGAAAAACATCTAAAAAAAAAAAAAAAATTCCTATAGGACATTAGTTCTCAGCTGGGGATGGTTTTGCCCCCAGGAGACATTTGGCAATGTCGGGAGACGTTTTTGATTGTCACAACTGGGGGTAGTGGTGCTCCTAGCATCTAATAGGTATAGGCCAACGATGCTGCTAAACGTCCGGCAATGCAGAGGACAGCCCCATACGACAAAGAATTACCTGGTCTGAATTGTCAATAGTGACAGCATTGAGAAATCCTGCTATAGGCTAATTCTGCCATCGAATAATTCACCAAAGACCTTTTAATTCTCATCCTCAAGGAAACATTCTTGTTTTGCATTCGAGAGCACAAGAATGAAAGCATTTGGGGGACCACAGCAATTATATTAATATGCAAAGCCTGCCCTTAACATGAAAATGCAGATTCGAATTTTACATTTTATTATTAAAGGAATATTTTACCTAATTTACAACCAATGTATATTCCCTACTTATTAAGGTATCTTATGATATATTATGTATTACTACAAGTCACAAATAGCTTTTGGTTCTGTTTCCATTTTTCCTCAAACAGTGGGTGTTCACTCACTTCTGCAGATTCAGCTCTCTGCTAAGTCCCTCACCTAATCCTGAAGTTTATAACATAGTCCCTGCCCCCAAGAAATATCCAGCCTAGGTGGAAGTAGATGAATGCACATGCAACAATTAAGGAACAATACAAGATAGCATAGAATTAAGCTTTAATTGCAGCACCCAGACTAAGGTGGCACAGAGGCAAGGGAAATGAGTTCCAGCAACAACACCCAGTGCTGCCTGGCTGAGGTGTTCTGTAAATGTTTGTTGAATGAAATGAAATAGCGAAAGCTTTTGACATGAGATAGGACTCCAGCTAGTATATAATTCCATTCCAGGATTTAAACTGCTAGACTTTGTAAATGGATGTTGGTGCCTGGCTGTGAGTTTATTTTTCTTAAAACATCCAGTTCAAACTTGTAACCCAACCTATATATTTCCTAAAACGATCAAACTTTAATAAAATGGAAACAATCATTCGTTTGACAACTATGTGAGTGCCTGCTGTGTGCAGCGTGAACCAAAAGAGTCTCTAAATTTGAACAGAGCCCAAAGCTTGTTCTGTCTGAGACAGGCCATCAAAAGGCACGTGCTCTCTTACAGCATATATTGAATGAATATCCCCTTTGACGGCAGGTATGTACTTGTCAGTATGCATTCCACAGTTTTGCACATTAACACAGACTGAGAACTTTCCCTCACAAACATCCATTCCCAAACACACACCCAGCACTCAGAACCTCCACAGGGACTCCAGGCCCTGTCCTAAACACATACTGCGCAGCACACAGGACATAAAGCAGGAGGTGCTTAGAAAACTCTAACTGGTTGGTTTCCAATCTTGGCTCCAGCCCCACCCCCCAGAGTAGAGCTCACCCTCCCTGGAGGCTGTCCCATCCTAGAACTGCCCCTTACCTTGGCCCCCTATTAAAATGTAGGCATCTGGTACCTCCTTTCCATCAAAGTCATTAGCTTCTCAGAGAGCATCTCCCATTAAGCTGGGGTTCAGCAAAGCAGACCTAGGCCTCATCTCATGTTATATGGACACATTTAGAGGAGATTTTCAGGGCACTGTGAGTCTGAAGTTGCCACAATCTTCCATCCCCTGATGTAACACTTTCCAGGCTTGCCTCCCTCCAATCCATGCTTTACACCAGCCTCTTTCCTCTGCTTCAGACTCCTCCAAGGCTTCCTGTAGCTTTTATAATAAAGTCCCAGAATTGCTCATTAAGATCCTTCATGGTGGGGCTCTTAATTAGTTCTCCAGCCACTACTCGCGGCTCTCCGCCTCCAGCCCCTTCACCCTGCACTCCATACATGCTAAACTGAACTTCTGTCCTTTGCCTGAACAGACATTTTCGTTGCTTGACCCATGCTCTTCTCTCCGCCCCGAACACCCTCCACCCCCTCTCTCATGTCTTTATCTGGCTATCCTTCAGAGTCAGTTTAGATAGCACTTTCTCTCGCCTCCAAGGCTGGATTAGGTGCCTCTCCTTTAAGTCCAGTAGGACCTATACTCACTCCCCCGCCCAGTGCATTGGACCGAAATCTCCCTTCCCCTGTCCTAATTTCCCACAACACTGAACATCCTAGGAGGACAAGGAGTGTGTCTTGTCGCCATGGAATACCCAACATGTGGCAGAGTGCCGGGCGTGGGGTAGGCACTTGATAAACACTGGTGAGTAATGAATTGCTGGTTGAAACCTGGGGAGTGACTACAGCTTTTCCATCCATGGTCCAGGCAATTCCTAGTTGGAAGCGTGCCTCATGCTGAGAAGATGTCAGGGCTGGTGAAGACTTTCTAACCACTTATTTAGAACAGGACGCAGCCTATGGAATGAACTGAGTTTTCAGGTTCCACCAGAGCCTCACTTTATACCTAACCTGGCTTCTTGAACACCAGTGATCTACCTAACACCTCCACTTGGATATCAGATTGGATCTCAAATGTCCACGTCCAAAACCAGAGTTTGATTTCCCTCCCAAATCGGCTTCTCCCTATCTCGGTAAATGGCAATTCCATTTTTCTAGTTGCTCAGGAAACAAAGAAACAAGAAAACCTTGGAGTCCTTTCTTTAATCCTTAACTCCTTTCTTTTTCTTTTACTACACATCGAATCCACCAGAAAATCCTGTTGATTCCATCTAGGAAATATATCCAGAATCAGTGACATCCCTCCATTTCCAGCCCTCCATCACTAGGCGGACCACCATCTCTCTGAGCTGGATTTCCACAATAGGCTTCTACCAGCTCTCCCTGCTTTTTCTGTTGCCTCCTTACACTCTGCTCAACACCATAGCGGCCAGAGTGATCCTTTTAAAACCTAAGTCAGATCACATTACCATTCTGTTCAAAACCTTCAACTGCTTCCCACCTCCCTCACTGCAAGGCCCCCAGTCAACTCTCTGGTCCCACCACCCACCACTCTTCCCTGGGTCCCCCAGTGCCAGCCACACTGGCCCCCTTGCTCTTCCTCAGAGCCACTTCCAATTCAGTCTTTTCAAGGCTGTTCCTTTGGGCTGGAATGATCTTCCTCCAGATATCCACATGGCCAGCTCCGTCACTTGACTCAGGTCCCTGCTCAAAAGCACTCTTATGAGAAAGACATTCCCTCACTAACCTATCTAAATAGCACCACCCAACCATCCCTTGGCCCAGCTTTATTTCCCTTCCTAGCATTTATCACCACCTGACAGCCTGTTTCCACCCACTCGACTATAAGTTCAAGGATAGTAGTGACTGTAGTTTTGTTTACTGTGTATCCCCAGCTTCTAGAACAGTGTCTAGCATATGGTAAACATTCAAGAAATAATCACGAGGGACTTCCCTGGTGGCTCAGTGGATAGAACTCCACGCTCCCAATGCAGGGGGCCCGGGTTAGATCCCTGGTCAGGGAACTAGATCCCACGTGCATGCTGCAACTAAGATTTGCATGCCACAACCAAGGAGCCCACGTGCTGCAACTAAGGAGCCTGAGAGCCGCAACTCAGACCCAGTGCAACCAAATAAATATTTTTTAAAAAGAAAGAAAGAATCACGAACCAAGGATCTGGTTAGACTACCAAAAAGTTATCCTTGAACAGGTTCCTATCCACTGCTTTAATCCCAACTAGTCCCTCCAGAATTTAGCTCTCCATCAGGATACCAGCAGCCCAATCGCCTGTCACTCTGCTTCTCATCCACTTAGACCAGGGACATCTATTACCTCAGTGATACACAGTTTGAAACACAGCTTCCACATCACAACCTCAAACCAGGATATGAGTTTCAAATGAAAAGGGTAATACTGCAAATTTTGCATTTGTAGCAGACTTTATCCTTTTCTTTTGATTTAGAAAAAGTACAATGTGTCCTAGTGACCAAAACAGACCCAACACCTAGTTTAAGCTTTTCATTCTAAAAGGCACAAGACTCAGGAACTCAAACGAGAAAATCAGGGACTTCCCTGGTGGCGCAGTGGTTAACAATCCTCCTGCCGATGCAGGGGACACGGGTTCGATCCCTGGTCTGGGAAGATCCCCCATGCTGCGGAGCAACTAAGCCCGTGCACCACAACTACTGAGGAGCCCACGCGCTGCAACTACTGAAGCCCGTGCGCCTAGAGCCCAAGCTCCTCAACAAGAGAAGCCACCGGGATGAGAAGCCTGTGCACCGCAAAGAAGAGTGGCCCCCGCTCGCCGCAACTAGAGAAACCCCTCGCACAGCAACGAAGACCCAACGCAGCCAAATAGAAAAAAATGTTTTAAATAATAATAAAGAGAAAGTCAGTTGCAGTTATGCCTGAGGCAACTGGCATCTTCTCTCTGATCTACCCAATCTGTAAGGC